GCATATATCAATATATGATTCTATCACATGCAGTATTGTACTTACTATAGGTCCTGAAATATTCTATTTGATGATGAATATATCCATTCTTCTTGAATCTGCCATTTCAGCACAGTAAAATCTGATGATCAATTCTAAATTTACAATGACATCTCTTTTCAGCTCACTCATTCCTAAAATATCAATCTTTATGTGTTCCATTTCATTTTGGACAACTTCTAATTTTCCTAGATTAAAACATTGAAAATTCCATGTTCTGATTACTAACGGATAATTTCAGCTGTCTCTTTTCATTTTGTATTATGATCCATTAGCAAATAAAACTTCTGAAAGCTTTGCTCCATCGACATTACTGAGACACACACTATTCTGAGGAGGCATCTCATTCCTACTCCTATTTTGAGTGCCTTTGAACCTGAGGGATTTGTCTTCCAGCACTGTTCCAAACAATGTCCCACTGCTATTCCAAAGGCTGTCAGTGGCTAATTCCTCAGCAGTGATGTGATTTCATGCCAACTTGATAGATAGCAGTGTAGGGGTGGAGTCTAGCCTGTCAACCAGGTCACAGCCTGAAGGTACCTCCTTGTGGGTGTCACCTGCTCATAAGGAGGGTATGGAAACCCTGCTCTCTCTCTCTCTGCCTTCACCTTCAAGTTGGCAAGCCACTCTGAGACCTGTCCTAGCTCTGGAGATGTGTCCACCACCATTGGATCCACAAGACTTTGCACCCACTGGCCAGGGATATTCCTGCATCAGCACCATTGCTTGAGACTGCGTGAGTCTGAAAAGTGACTTATGAACTAGAGTTGAACTGGGATGGGGTGTTTTCTCATTATATAATAACTTCTAAATAAAAAAGTCATTTCTTACACATAGATGAGGGTCACTGAATTTGTTTCTCTAGTCAATCCAGCCTAACACATTATGGTACTTTGGGAGTCAGGTACTAGAGAAACAAATCATGAAGTTAGAGAGTGGAGGCTTGTCTGACCTCTGCCTTAGGGTAATGTTTCTTCTTTGATTAGCCAGAGGTCAGATATGGCCATGCAGTTTACATGGTTGTTTTCTGAAAATGAAGGTTTTGATGCCTAGAAGTTGTTTTGGGTTATTCCTGTCTGAAAATGGTGAAATGAATGTGATAAATGTGAATTTTGAGCTCAGGGGGTGAATCATTACTTGAACTTCTCTGAGGCCATTCTGCTGAGTCAAAATGGCTGACCAAAAGCCTGGCCTGGCTTGATGCAGCCAAAGGCCTAAGACTATATTACATATGAATGGGATAGCTGAGATAAGAAAAAAATGGACTGTTTTAAGAAGGTGTTTAGGATCTGGCTGTACTAGAATTATATCTCTTCTAACCATCATTATTGATATAATGTGTGATAGAAAGGATTATTGCAAAGTATGAAGATATTTTATAAGCCCGCTGTCTTTAGACATTAAATTGGATCTATTAAATGATTAGTTGAAACCCTTGCAAAGAAGGCTCTGGAAGCATAATCCCTAGCCAGTGCCTTCAGTGTTTAGGACATTTGCATTTGAAGAGACTTTTCTAGATAGGGGTTGTCAGACTGAAGAAAAAAGGAGTCATTTGGCCTTTTTGAATTTTGAAGTAGGGGTTTGCACCTGAAGCTGAAAAATGTGGAGCCATAAAGGAACACTCCTCTCTATGACTGACGGTTGTGAGGAGCCTGAAAAGCCTGTGAGGAACCTGAAAAGCTTGCTAGTGACCACCTGGATCCACTTGTTGAGTGGAAATGGGGAAAACACCAATAGAGAGATGGGTTGAGTCTAGCCACTGACATCCATGAACTGGTTCACAGGGATTAGAGGAGAAGACAGGAGCTGGTTGGCTGATCTATAGTTTAAAGGGTTGTGCAGAACCTGAGCCTATGGCATAATCTAGCCCAAGGGGGTGAGGGTTGTTAAAGATTTGTGAAAGGACCTATGGTCAAAAGGCAAGAGAGCCGATGGACACCCTGGTGAGGCTAAGTGAGACTGGCCACAATCAGTTGACTGGAATCCAACTCGATGAAGAGAAGATTATTGAGCCTGTGAATTGGTGTGTATTGCTGCTGACTTTGAGTGGGCTGTCCTGATTGACTTTGCTTATGGATAAAGACTCCCAATGTTCCAACTGGAATGAAGATTCTTCACATCAAAGAACATCAGAACATGCTTGTTTCCATAAAAGGGAAGTGTAGAAATTGGATACCCACTCCCAATGTTCAGACTAGAATGAAGATTCTTCACATCAAAGAACATCAGAACATGCTTGTTTCCATAAAAGGGAAGTGTAGAAATTGGATACCCAAAATGGGGGGACAAAGGCATGAAGTGGCTGATTTATAAACTTTCATGGATGGAGGATTTGTTGATTAAGGCAGGAATTCATATAACTGCAATTGTTATGCATAGAATATTTTTGTTTTGTTCACTAATAGAATATAATGTTAAAATGAGGCTGCCACATTTTGAGTAGTATGGATTTTATTTTTATCTTGTTAGGCACAAATATGATTTTACTATTGTCTTTGTTTAAAAATTTAAAGAGTTGTATGAAAATATCAGGTTGACAAGGGATGGTCTGTGGCAGCTGTATAATTTCGTGTAAACTTGGCATATAAATGTGTAGGGGTGGAGTCTAGCCTGTCAAGCAGGTCATAGTCTGATGGTACCTCCTTGTGGGCGCCGCCTACTCATAAGGAGGAACCAGTGAATCTCTCTTTCTCTGCCTTCACCTTTATGCCAATGAGTCACTTTGAGACCTGCCAGAGCACTGGATATGCATCTGCTGCCATTGGATTCACAAGATTTTGCACCCTCTGACCTGTGATATTCCGGCATTTGGCATCATTGCTTGTGACTGAATGAGTCTGATGAGGGACTTATGGACTAGGATCAGACTTATGGACTTGAGTTGGACTGGGCTGTAACTTTATTTGGTATAAAATTACTTCTTAGTCAACCTGGTCTAACACAAGTGGAAACCTGATTCCTTCTGCATATTCTGGAAGCTCCGCTGAAACCTTTCCCACCTGGGTAACTTTGCTGGTATTTGAAATACCATTGGAACAGCCTCCAACATCACAGAAACATGAACGCCACCCAGTAGGACAAGCAGATAGGTGAGTGGTGTCGCTTATGGTTATTATGGTTGTTGTTAGGTGCCACCGAGTCCATTCTGATTCATAGGGATCCCATGTTCAGCAGGAGAAAACACTGCTTGGTCCTGGCACCATCCTTACAATTGTTCTTACTTTTTAGCCCATTGTTGGAGCCACTGTGTCAGTACATCTTGTTGAGGGCCTTCCTTTTAGCTACTGCTGCTCGACTTTGCCAAGCACTACGTACTTCTCTAGGAACTTGTATCTCCTGAGAGCATGTCAAACATCTGTGAGACGAAGTCTCACCCGCCTTGCTTCAAAGGCACATGCTGGCTGCCCTTCTTCCAGGGCAGAGCCGTTTCTTCTTCAGAAGGCCACGGTACAACAAAATGAAACACACTCATGGCCATCAAGAAATCAACACGAGAAACCAAATGCTTTGAGGCAAAAGGCTTGCTGGCTGAATGGCAGGCCTCCAAGCACTGGAGGCAGTTAGATTCGCCTATTCACAGAGCTGGCACTGGATATTTTTGAATCAAGGCTTCCAGGTGGAGTGAGGGCCTCTGAATACTTATTGACAGGGCTTATAGCTTTATACATCTTGTCTGAGCAGGGCCAGTTGCTGAGAAAGAGGTGACCATGAGCATGGCTGAGAAGAGGGTGTTGTGGTTGAAAAACACAGTATGCTACATTGATTCTGAACTCAAATTGTAACCTGCTACTTTTCTACTAAGATGCATAATCATGAGTCTGGTCGGTGACTCTGTGGCCATTGTGATGACATCTTGACCCTAAGAGAAGTTGGAGAATGCCACGGGAAGAAGACTTGGTCTCAGGATTGGTAAAAAGATTGGAAGGTGGAGGCATGTCTGACTTCTGCTTCACAGAAATCAGCCTGAAGCTGTGCATCGTGACCCTTTCTGAAGTTGGAGGAGGTCAGATGCCACCCCCATGCCAATTGTATACAATATGAAGGAAAACTCAATCTCTGCTTTTCTCCCACCCCCCTCTCATTCAATTGCTTGCTTACTTGCTCACACTAGTTTTTTCAATAAATACTTTATCGGCAAAACCTATGCTGGCAAGCTTACAGAGTAGCATCCGCTTTTGAAACGTTGCCTTCCTTTCATGCATGAGTCTTTGACCTATTTTTTCATTCACAGTATTATTACTGCCTGACAGATGTTCATTAGTGGATTGTTATGATATTTACTTGCTTCCCCGCCATTAGATTGGACTTTGTAGAGCTGAACACAGGTTAGTTCACTGCCAGGCACTATCTTGGCACACAGTTGATTTTCCACGAGCATTGATAGGAGAAAAAAGTCTGCAAAGCCAGGAGACTTCCTAACTCCCGGCTGTGTGTTCAACATGAACGCTGATTCAACACCAGTCAACACTGACCTTTTCCAAGTGCTTTTGTTATGCCTGAGATTGGAACTAGGAGCAGAATGAAAACTGAGTCACCCCATAATATAGACACAACTCTAATATGCATAGCCTACAATATCCAACTACACAAATGATGGATTTGACACATATGTCAGGGCTCAGCCCAAAACCAGTTGGTAAGATGAGGACTGTCTTTTCCTTCCTTCGGTAACGAGGTGTGTGGAGAAAGAGGGAGAGACAGATATAAATAACTGGATTTTTGAGATGCCACTAGTTTTAAGCTTTTGTTATACAAGGCACCCGAGAATGTGGTTTATAGATGTATAGTGTATAGTTTCAAATACATCACTCAGTGTTATAAAAAGCCTTTAACAAACATGTTAGGCTCATCTATACTAATACCTGTTCTGGATAATTGTACAGAGCAATGCATCAGTAAAAAGGATATGAAGAAATATTTAACAAAGCGTGCCCTCTATCAAAAGACATTGATTTCCATACTTGTAGCAGGGCGACGATCTCTCGACACACACAAACCCAAAGTAGCCACGTTTGCCTCCGAGCCTGGATCCTTTCCGATGCTTGTACTCACAGCAGGAGCTTAGTCTGTTCACCTGTATCCCATTCAGGAAAAAGGTCAGACTGAAGGGGAAACCATGGTGCCTTTTGGAAATAAACTGAAAGGTCTCTGGAATGGAAAAAGAGAAATGATTAGTGAAAGAGACTGCCTTTAAGCTAACATTTCCTTCATCATATTGTTCTGCAAGATACATATAATGTTCTGCTCTATGTAACTTTTTAATTTTAGGTAAATTTTCAATCACAAAAATGCCTTTCAATTGATACAATGTGAAGAACGAAGCTAATGGCATTGGTCATTATGTCTAGAAACTGTGGGATGGGAATGAGTTATAACTGTATATTTTCACACACAAAAATTAAATTAAAAATACAGTACATTAACTTTATTTTTAATAAATACTCTAGATCTTTATAATTGAGAGAATAAACTCTTTGATGTACCTATTACCATCAATTATGACTCACAGTGACCCTACAAGACAGTAAAACTACTCTTTTGGGTCTTCAAAGCTGTAAATCTTTAAAGAAGGATACTACCTCATCTTTCTCCCTCTGAGCAATTAGTGGGTTTGAACCACCAACCTTTCAGTTAGCATACCCAAACTTAATCCACTCCACTTATGCCACCAGGGCTCCATCAATTATAACATTGGCATTACACGAACATAGATTATAGCTAGGTCCTTTTGCCTGTGTTCTTACTCAATTGTTATCCCTAGTCCAGATAAGGGGCCTGATGGAGCCATGGTTTAGGGCTCAAGAAATGTTGGCTGTTCAAACCCAGCAGCCACGTGTGGGAGAAAGCTGTGTAATATACGTGCATCAAGATTTACAAGCTTTAAAATCCCTATGAGGCAGTAGCACTCTCTTCTACTTTGTCCTGTGAGGTCATTGTGAGTCAGAATTAACTCAGCACAACTGGTAGTAGAGTGCTCAGATGAGGAAATAGGTTTTATAAAGAAGTTCATGAATTTACACAAGATCATACAGTGAGTAAGAATGTTAGGGTTTGAGTCAAAACATCTCTAACTTTAGATTCCATATCCCTAACTTTCTTGATAAAGTACTTGTTGATAAAGTAGATAATGAAAAAAATACTTCTGTGGGTACAGGAATGCTTGGAAATACATTTCTTCAATTGTGATATGAATACACCATAAATGCATGTATGAGAGAGGTATAATTATACCATATTCAAATCCTACTCAATTCTGTTCTGATTTGGGACACCTTGTTTCATTCCAGCCCATAAGTCCCACCAATAAATTAAAACCCACTGCCTACAATTAATACCTGTGTACCATTCCATGTGTTTACAATGCCCTGGAGAGAGAGTATCCTAAAGGCCCAAGTCTCTGAATCCGAGACATCCTATTACACAGAGTGGTTTTGCAATGTCACTTCCTACAAAGAAGGCTGCATGAACCCTTCCACTTCTAACAATAGAGTTAATAATTTTCACCGCTAACCTCTGTACATTTTCTTATTGTTGCATTTGTTTTAATATAAAGAGAAAGGTGTCAGAGTCAGAAGTAAACCAGATGGTCTTGTTTTACAGGACCTTGCAAGTTTTCTGCCTCCCTGGTGCAGCCTTACCACTGTTTCAGTCACTATCTCTTAGCGTGGAACATTTTAAGTTTCCCTCCTGACAGATGTCTGCCTGACACAGGTTCCAGCTCTCAGGATCCAATTTCCTATACCATGACTAGAGCAGTGGTCTCAAGCATCTGTGCTTCTTGGATCACCCATGGGGATTTCTGGATTCCGCTCCGGGGATTAAGTCGGTCTGGAGAGGTGGTTGTGTGCTTTCGAGTTCATTGTGGCTCTTAGCAGCACCATGTGAAAGGGTAGAACTGTCTAGTACAGTTTCCAAGGCTGAAATCTTTACTAAGAGCAGGTCTTTCCCCCCCTGAGCTGCTGGTGGTTTTGAACCACTGACCTTTAGAAGGGCCCAAGAATGTACAGTTCTAGCAAGTTGCCAGATGATAGTGAGGCTTGTGGTCTGAGGACAACACTGAGAAATCCCTATCTAGAAGTCTGTTTCGCTACCCATTTGCAAAATCCTGGCTAGAAAGCTAAGGTTGGTCCCACGACAGTGACCTAGGAGGCTGTTAACCAATATGTAATGAGTACTATTTTCAGCAATTTATTTCACAGTAATCTAGAAACACTGCCTACATGCCACATTATGCCCCTAATGGAGAAGAAACCGAAAGCAGATGCAAATCACTCTAAGAATAGATTTATTGAAAATGAAAATTCTACCTAGTACACCTTAGTATTTATGATGTGAAATTTGAAGGTTGGGAAAGAGAAAACTGGAAAAGCTAATGTCCGAGAAAGTTAAAGCACAGCATATTGACAATTCCACTTGTCTTAACGATATACAGAGTCCTAACCAGCGACTGGAGAGCGAGTTTCGCTGCTTTCATTAGTCGAACTTGAATCCCACACTCATTCTGCCGCAGCATCGCAGCCTAGACTTTCCTAAGGTGCACGGTGTGCGAAAGGGCTGCAGGCAATCACACGTGGCTAGGTGCAGCTGCCTCTGGTTGATACTCAGGGAGCTGGAGAGAATATCCATCAGTTATTCCATTTCCCATCTGCATTTCTTTATCAAGCTTGTTGAACAAGAGTCAAAGCCTCTGCCTTTATTGTTTATTTCAAAATCTTACATTTCAAAGTACAGTGATACCTTCCATCGCTGAGTAAATGGTTTCTGCATGGATTAGTGAAAAGAAAGTAGTCAGAAATCAGAGGATCTGGTCCATGCCCTCGTTGTTCATGTATCAGTTCACTGCCACTTAATTTCACTGAATTTCACAATTCCTGTGCATAAGTTGCAGATGGAGGGGTAAATACCCATTCAACCCACACGGTGTTTTTAAAGGTATATTAGCTTATTATATTAGGAAGTGTTGTTTACACTTCTTTGCAAATTTCATATGTTCATAGTTAATTGGAAATAAGTAGCACTTTGAGGCACTAAAGGAAAATAACAATTCTAAGAAGATGCCAAAGAGGATATCCTCTCTCAAGAAGTTGTAATTTGGCAGGAAAGGCAATACTAACGAATCAAACTTCTGGAGGAAAGTGGTTATTACCAATTCTCTCCATAAAAATGATGACTCTCAAAATGAACCAAAGACCACAGCCAATTAAAAAGCACATATTCATGAAAAAATGTGTGCACTTCAGGTTGGCAAGCTGTGACTCCAGTGCCAAGTGCAGCTTCTAGCCATCACACCTGCCACTAGTTGAGCTCAGTCCCATAAGAGGCGGGCCCTGCATAGCCGCAAGCTCCCCGCCATCGGAGTTTGCTCTGGGGCAGACGGAGGCCACCCCGTGGTCAGTGGCATAACACTAATATGAATCCACCTTGAAGACAAAATAACACAGCAAGGCAGAGGTTCAATTAGTCTGAGATTGAAGTTTCAGTTTAAATAAACAGTGTACTAGAAATTAACAGGGTGTTAATTCCAGCTAACACACCAGACAGGCTAACTGAAAGTTTTCGTCGACACATGGACTCAGGCGACAGGAGACCCTGGACAAAAGTGAAACTTGGGGCAGATCTGAAAACCCTCTGAACTTACACTCTTGAACCCATAAATAAATTGATTTGCAAAACGTGGAGCCTTACTCGCTCAAGGTGCTTGAGAAACACCTCTGACAAAGTAGCCTTGCCGCTGAGCTGTGAAAAATACCGTGGCAGTGTCAGAAGTTTTAAAATCTGAGCACAAAGATCTCTGGCTGCCCGTCAGAATGGCGGATGGATTCAAATTTCTCTCACACAAGTTCCTAAAAAAACAAGAATTATAAATAGCAACAGCCACACATTTGAGGAATTCGAATCCATAGTTGTGATGGCACATGACCTAACATGTCCCATTTTCAACAACAAAAAAGGTATGAAATCAGAATCGAGTAATATACTCAAGAGTCAGCACATTTTGTCTGCCATTTAGTAGTAAAGATTGTAAAGAAGTGATTGTAAATATGTTCACAGAAAAAAATTATGTATAAAAATTAGTATGTATGAAATTTAAGGAAAAATATAACAATGGTTCAAAAAAGAGAAAATCAGAAAAATTATGAAACAGAGTCATACATAACACCCATTCTTCATTTATCAAGTGCCGTGTTAGCTGCCATTTCACATTTATGCCAATGATAAAGTACGTACTCTATTTTCGTGCAGAAACAAATGCTGGTAAGAGTGACACTGGTGGTAACGGTTAAGGTTATGTGTCACCTCGGCAGAGCCTGATTCTCATTAGTTTGGAAGTTATATGATGATATATTTAGCAGTTATATAATGATGTATTTGGCAATTATGTAATGATGTAGTCATCTTCTTTTTCGTTATCTTATATATTTATCCTCTATTTTGGCATAATATTAATTCTTGGATAATAACATGGTTTATGAAATATGATCATGTTGATAACTGAGGAGTGGATATAAATTCTAAAGTTGACAGAAAAAAAAATTAAGGTCAAGAGAAAATCTAAATTTATACAAGAAAGGATAAATGCACTAGAAAATGTGTTTGTTAGGTGCCCACAAGTTGGTTCTGACTTACGTACAACAGAAAAAAACACTGTGCCATCCCCACCATGGTCCTTGTGTTTCATGCCATTGTTGCAGCCACTGTGTCGACTTCCCCAAGCATGCTGTGTTACTACAGGGACTGGTCTCTCCCTGAAACACGTCCGAAGCATGTGAGACAGAGTCTCCCCATACTCACACCTCAGAAGTATTCTGGCTGTATTTCTTCTGAGACAGATATTTTCGTTTCTTTGACAGTCCATGGTACTTTCGATGCTCTTGGGCAGCACCATAATTCAAATGCATGGATTCCTATTCAATCTTCCTTATTCAATGTCAACCTTTCAAATGCATATGAGAAAATTGAAAATACCATAACTTGGGTTAGGCATACCTTAGTCCTCAAAGCAACCTCTTTTCTTTTCAATACTTTAAAGAGATGTTGTGCAGCAAATGCACACAATGGAATGCATTATTTGAATCCTGACTGCTACTTCCATAAGCATGGATTAAGTGTCAAAGCAAGTTGAAATCCTTGACGACACCATCACTCCT